AAAAAGAGTTGCGCGTAGCTCCTGGGAAAGGGACTAAGCGAGGCCTCTGCATGATCATGCTCCTCCAGGATCTGGTGCACCAGATGGCGGTGCCCTTCCTGGAGGTGGATCAAGTCCGGAGTGGGCATTCAATGTTTCCCTATTGCCGACATCTTGGCTGCACGCACTTTGGCGCTGAAAGGTCGCAGATGGATAATCGGTGGGGACTGGAAGTTCCCTCTGGATGATTTCGGTCGAGTTTTGTTCTGGGAGGCAAAACCTGCAGTGATGGCCAGCCCATGCGACTCCAAAAGAGCGGGATGGGATGTGCCAGAGCAGTTCCTCTTGGGAGGTGCCCGTCAGACTGCCAGCTCACCAACGTCGACAGTGTCAAGTCGCTCGGAAATGACACAGCCGACAAGGTGGCGAGATCCACCAGAGCCTCCTTCTCGCCCTTTCACATCGCGAACCCAACTTGCCCGGGCCGGGGCATAGGGACCCCGTGAAGCGCCGCACTGGTTTGGAACCTGCCTGCATTCTCCAGCCCAGGTCAGGACCCCAGAAGGCAAACCAGGGACACACCAATGTCCGTGTTGGGGTCTGCCGTGCCACACGCTGAAACTTGGGAGAGTTGGGCCCCGCACTGCACGGCTCGAGGCGTCGGTGTGGTGGTCATACGGAGAACCCGCCATTGAAGCTCATTTCAGGTGGGCTCTGGACCAGCGGGAAGCGTACGGGGACTTGTTGGCCTGCGCGGTGGCCACGATGTGCGGTGCCTCCTTCAAACTCACCAGAAGTAGACGTCTGAGGAGGCTGCCAGCATCCACCCCAGCCTGAGCATGAAGGGACTCAGCTTGGCTTCCTGGCTTCTGTGCCCCGTTCTCGTCTCTTCTGAGCCTCAGCATAGTTCGGCTCCAACACGGCATCCTGCACGTGAACTTCCCGAAGATGACGCCAGTCCTCGGGCTGTTGTGACGCATCCGGCACTGCAGCTGCCCCCTTCGGCCAGCGAGCTTTCCATCGAACCCCTCACACACCCTAAGGCCTCAAGGCTTTGGGCTCATGACCCCACAGAGTTCCGCATGCGCGTAGAAGGCCAATCCATGCCTGTTCACTTGAAACGCAGCATAATATGTGCAGGACCAGCCAGCCAAATAATACTGTAGCAGGCGTCTTGAAGTCTTTTACTGTTCAACACGCCAAGCTGTTGCTGCTGATGATGCCGATGCCCTGCACGAATGTGTTCCATGAGGGCACGATCGAAGGATTCCGTCGAACACAATACAGCCCCGAATCGCTGTGTGCGCCTCAGGAATTGCAAATGTTGTTTCCCTTGTGTGAGGCTGCGCCGCCGTTACGTTCCTGCTCACCAGCACGCCCTCCTTCTCGGCACCAGATGCGCCGCTGCTTGGAAGCACTGCAGACGCAGCAACGCAACACCACCGCGCAACCGTCCCTTCCCGTTCCGGTTTCCCATCACTTCGCCAGCTGGCAGGCTCTTTGTGGACCAGCCGGTAGCCGTGGCTTGTGCAGCCGGCTTCATCGGAGGCGCCGTGTCCTTGTGCCTCGGACAAAGCGCCCGTCAGACGTGTGCAGACGTGCAGCTGCACCGCCGTGTGGGGGATGCGGCGGAGAGCTGTTTTGTGCCGAGGTGCTTCATGGCCGTCTTCGACATGGCCACGGATGCCTTGCTGTATTACTATGGTAGGGCTCCCACAGCAGCCAGCATTGAGGCATAACACTTGTCAGACGTCGCGTCGTTTTGTGCGGAGGCCTGGACTGGCTCTATGGCCGAGGAGGCGAGTTTAGCAATGCACCGGATGGCATCAAAGTGGGGACCTGAGAAGACGCGGTCCGCCGGCGACACCTCTCTCTCTCTCTGAGCTGAGTCTCTCTGCATGTACATGTACAGCGCTTGGCGTCCTGCACCTGCTCAAGATAAGGAGCTGATGCACGGCAATCGACACTGATCCAAAGGGCTTGGCCCTGTGCTCCAGCTCGCTAGCGCTAGCGCTCGCGGCGACTGCGGCGACACTCGCCCTCCGCATCACATCAGGTCGCACGCCACGCTGCAATTGGGTCTCCAAGGTCGAGACTCGAAGTTTCGAAGTCCCCAAGCGCCCTCAGGCCTCAATTTGCCCTCAATTATATCGATGCACGCCGAATGCATGCAGAATGCACGCATGAGCGCATGCTTGGACGAGGCCCCCCTCCCCTTTCCGCAATGGGGAGCAT